AGTGTGTGAACAGTGAAAGTGTGAACAGTGACAGTGTGTGTACAGTGGAAGTGTGAACAGTGACAGTGTGTACAGTGAGTGTGTGAACAGTGAGAGTGTGAACAGTGACAGTGTGATCCATGTCTGTGGAAAGTGTGGATAATCACAGAGTGTGGACAGTGAATGTGGACAGTGAGTATGGACAGCTTGAACAGTGAGTGTGGTCAGTGTGGACAGTCAGTGTGGACAGTGAGAGCACTGAGTACTGTCCAGTCCTCCTGACCTGCAGCTCCTTGTTCTCTCGGGCCAGCCTCAGTCTCTCAGCCCTCTCGCTGTCCAGAGCCTGGCACAGGGCATCGCCACGGAAACGCTCGTCGGTCAGCTCTGAGGTCAGGGCAGTGACCTGGGGGAGAGTCGATCCCAACTCTTAGCCTCACCTCAAATCAGTGCACTGGGAGTCTGAGTGGCGTCCTGGCACAGTGGGTACCTTGGTCTCCAGAGAGTCAGCACTCTGTCTCAGATCATTCCTCTCCTTGTCGGATTTCTCCAGCCTTCGTCTCAGGGCGCAGAGCTCTTCCTGGGCACGCAGACAGACAGAGACAGATACCCCCATGGGGCCGTTGTGCTCAGGAGCAACCACTGTGGGATCATGTCCACGTGTTCACAGTTTGTAAGCACATGGAAGACAGGTGCTGGAGTGTCATTACTATTACTGTCATGTGTCAGACAGGAAGTACCTCCTTGGCTCTGTATCTCTGATCGTCAATGTTGACGTCCAGCAGGGGGCGAACTTGGCCCAGAAGCCGCCACCAGGCCCAGTCGCGTACTGCGGACAGGACACGCATGTTCCTCTGGACGCAGCGCACAGCCATCTCCTGAACCTGAGTGCGACAGAGCCACACAGGCACAAACGGGTACTACGATAGCTAACGAGGTGATTGAAAACAATTTATGGGTCTGAGCGGGAAGAGGACAAAGTTTGGGTTTGAGGTAAAACAGGTAAAACAGCCATTTAAGGAAGAGGGGTCAATGTGAGGTCAGAGGCCAGAGGTCAGAGTTGACTTACTTTCATGCGCCGGTATCGCTGTCTGGCCAAGTGACCCTGACAGGCTGCCTGCAGGAGAACCAGCCAACCAGAGACCAGTTTCTCCCGCTGCTGCTCCAGGGATGCCAGAACACCCCTCTTCATGAACACCTGCACCAGGGAGAGAAGGAGGTGAGAGGGCAGACAGGGGGAGAGAAAGGAGGATCAAGGAGGCAGGATGGACACAGAGGGAGGGAGGCATTAGTTATCTACATGCTCTTCTGCAAGACTGATTCTCCAGTTTCTCTCAGTCAGACCAGCTCACCTGGCTGAGTCCTATAACAATGCTTCTCTTCTCCAGGTCCAGGTCCACCAGTAACTCCTCCACTGCCTGGACAGAGAAAGCAGGGCAAGAGAGACAGAGGCAATCTTCATGTGCAGAGAAAATACCAAACAACGTGTGCGGGGCGGTATTAGGCAAATACCCACTGCTAAGAAATATAAAGAAGAGAGCAATACAATACTGGCCACACCTTCAAATCAGTGAGCAGAACTCCTAACACCACAAGGCCCTGCTGAGCCCAGAGCTGAGCCCAGAGAAGAGCCCCTCAGCCAGCTGGTCCTGAAGCTCACTGACACCAACCAGCACAGCTACAGCAACACAAATCACAATCAACCCAACCACAGCACAAGACAAACAACACTACAACACACACAAACACAACGCAAACTGGAATACTACAGAACACTAAACAGACAATACACACTAGCTGATTATCGGATAAGGGGAAGAAACAGCAAGAACAAACAGTGACCACAGCCTGGCCAGAGAAACTGGACACAGGTAGACCTGGCTGTCCAGAGAGGACAGGCTCAGTGACCACAGCCTGGCCATAGAAGCTGGACACAGGCAGACCTGGCTGTGCTCCCACTGCCAGCAGGGAGAAACCGAGACAGAGATGCACTTAATACAACTCAATACAACTCAGTACAACTGCGTCTATACTGGGGCCTGGCGCTGTCTAAGACTGATGACATTTTTTTACATTCCTGCTTACCAACCTTCCTCTCATCCGGAGTGATGAAGACAGAGCCGTACCTCTTCATCACCTGAGGAGAGAGAGCCTGGAAACGGCAGCGGAAGTCGCAGAGGGACATGTGGTCAGGATAGCCTGGAGTGAGAAGGGGGAGCAGACAGTGGGGCTCAGAAGGGAGCACCCACAGTTTGGGGCTCCCAGAGGAATGACTAAGACAGTGAGGGTCAGATGGGAGCACTTATGGTTTGGGGACCCAGAGTAGGAGCACTTGCAGATAGTGGGGCTCAGATGGGAGCACCCACAGTCTGGGCTCCTAGACAGGAAAGCCTGCAGCTGATAACTGGTGCTGTTGCCCAAAGGCAGGGTCTGTCCTGCAGGTCAGCCCCTGGGAGAGCAGGGAAACCGGTGCTGC